GCCTGCTTCTGCAGGGTCACTCACTCCCGCTTTTGATTTGGGTTTGTTTTTTTTTTTAATACCTCCTTACACCAGATACGACGAGGCTACCAACGAGCTCGTTAACGAGGAGCTGGGCATCGCCTACCCCGTCATCGACGGCATCCCCAACATGATCCCGGAGGCTGCCAGGATGACTCAGAAGAAGCCTCCGGCTCCCGAGGGCTCGGAGCAGCCCTGAGGACCCGCCAGCCGCAGCCGTGAACGGGGACGGATGGCGGGAGGAGGGCTACTCCCCTCCCTGCCCACGCTGACTGTGCTTGTCCCCCTCTTGTCCCTGGCAGGTTTGTTTTACTCGGCCACTGTAGACGAAACCTTCCCACAGGGCTGCACCAGCACCAACAGCTTGTGTTTCTACAGCCTCCTCCTTCCCGTTACGATACCAGTTTATGTGTTCTTTCACCTGTGGACCTGGATGGGGATTAAGCTTTTCAGGCACAACTAGTGCAGTGCATTTGCTAACCCTTGGGCTTCACTAAAGGAACGGTGTTTATTTAATGTCATCAGGTGTTGCAGTTGATGAGAGAGTTCCCTTCTGGCACTAATAACCATCATCATTTTCCTAGTAGTGTCTGGGACTGTTTGAAGTTCTCTTTAGCAGCCTTTTTACTTAATTACCACTAAGGCAGATAAAGAAGAGGAACAAGAAGCACTATTTCCTTCTACTATAACCCTTCAGGAGTGTTTTGTGTTTGTAGTGGCACTAATGAAAAACTTCTGCATGGTGGTTGTTTGTACAAATGAGAACTGTTTCCTGACTGAAATAACTGATACTAAATAATAAGCAGTGACAACATGCAGCAATATAAATCTCTTTGAATGAATTATGACTTTTGGTTTTGTTTTGAACTGATATATGTGTGTATTGAAACTTACTTGTCTCACTGTCAGAACTTTTAACTGGGCTGATAGGTAGTAACAAAACTAGAGTTAAACAAAGATGCTTAATTAGATGATAGCCCTGTGTCCTGTGCTTGCTTGCCTTTTTTTTTTTTTATGATGAAAATGGGGAAATGACACAGCAGCAACAAAGATGTATTTGTGCATTTGGCAGGTTTGTTAGAGCAACCTCCATCTCATCAGATGTGTGTCCCTGTATTATTTGTTAAATTTGTCAGAGTGCCCAAATTTTATAAGCCAGGCTGGGTCACCTCTGTTCAAGATGCATCTCCTGACAGGTTAGAGGAAAAGTAGCTCCAGCTGAGCCCAGGATTTGGTAGCCAAGTTGGCAGCTACAAATGCTGAATAAGTTTGTAGAGTATCTTTCCCCTTAGCACTATCTTCTCGGTAGAGAGGGAACAGAAGATGCTTCTGCTAAATACTTCAATGCTTCCCTGTTTCTATGTACAGTGACGCTAGAGAATGGAGTGACAGCCCACTGTGAGGGTGTCACATGCAAAGTTCTCAGTACAACCCAGCAAAATGTCTTAATAGGACACAGCTGTTAAGGGGGGGGGAGTTTACACTACGATAAGCTGTTACAAAGGTTTCTTTTTTGTTTCACTGCTGCGTGGTTTATGCCTGCAACAGGGACACACAAATGCCCTTTACCTGGTGAAAAATGTTGAAAACAGCACCAAGTTGTCGATGTGGCAGACATCGGTGTCCCTCAGTGGGATACTAATAATGCAGTCAAAGTGATGAGGCTGCTGCTGGGCAAATAGCGCTGTGATGCTCAGTGGGAAAGTCAGCGCCTATGACAGGTGTGTTCGAAGGGTGGCTCCAACTAAGCGCAGCTGTTTGTCAGAGCAACTTGCACAATCAGTGGGGAGAGACTAGATCTTCTAGAGGGCTGTATAAGAATAAATAAATGCCTCTCTTATCTGATGTAGCAAGGAAGGAAAGGCAGCTCTAGAGTCCAGCTTGAATCTTCTAAGCTTTTACAGGGCAGGGGCCAGTGTTGCAATACCTGAAGAAAACAACAGCTGCCAGAACTTTGGGTTTGTGTGGAAACCACAGGCTAAAGCCACACGGAAACGGCAGCATTATAATCGGCTTTTCATCTCTTTTGCTGGCACTACCCTTCCTTCAGGCAGCATCTCTGTAACAGAAATGGGTTTTGTAGGTGTGCCGCTTGCTGGCCTCTTAAGGCTGGCTCCCCAGCCACGAGTTTTTTCATGTACAGCAAACTCACCTAGACTCTATAGTAATGGGCTTTGCCAGCTACCAGTTCCCTCAGCAATCCTGTTACACTACCCCAAAGCGACTTCATAGTAAGTAGCACTGCCACTTGCATTTAACTTATGCCAACAAACTTGATGGTTACCTGGAATAAGAATGCAAGATACTGCCCTCCAGATTTACCCTACATCCCCAGTGAAACATGTTTTATAATAATTTGGTGAGTAGTTGTTTTGTTGTACGCTCGGTGAATGCTGAAATCCTTCTACCAATACTTCAGTAACACTGACAACCAAAGAACACCACAGTGATGTATTCAGAGCTAACAAAATTTGGTATCTTATGTCTAAGATCTTCCTGAATTGCTGGGCTGGTGTGTCATGTAAATGGGTCCATATGTCTTGCAGAAGGCACTGTCTTCCGATGGGAAAAAAAACACAGTTCCTGATCTTATCAGTATTGCCTATATCTGAAGATCGAAGTTAACAATCTGTGTTATCATCTCTTCTAAAGTGTAAAAAAATTGGCCACACTTACACTAAAGTAGCTGGGTGTTCTGTTAAATGAACAAACATCTTGTTTTTCATACTAAAGGTGCATGGATATTCAGTCAGCTTCCATAGGGCCATCTGAAATGACAAGGGAGAAAGAAAAAGACATGGTTGATTTTCTCTTGCAAAATCAGATTTTGGCAGTACGTGTGCAGACTGACTCATCGGTCCGTCGCCTGGCAAACTGCTCTGTCTCTGAAACATGCCCTTGTTGAGTGCATGAACACCACACCAACAGAGGCAGGTTTTCTAAAAGCAACTTCTAGAAACTTTAGTGAACTGAAAACCCTGACAGAAAGGCATCTGAACTATGTTACGGCACACTGTTGCTAAAAAATGTTGGGTTTATTATCTGTAATACTGTAAGTAAATACTGGTACAAAAAATAATCTCATTCAAAGTGTTACACCTCCAGTATGATAAGGCAGCAACTTATTTGGCTTTTGATTCTATACTGTTTCTCATACCTCATCTTCCATTCTGGTTAACTGGTATAAAATTGGTACATTAGCAAATGAAAGCTTATGAAAGAATTAGGAAATTGTCCTGTGAATTCCAGCCTAGTTGCTAGAAAACTGCATTTTTTGCCTAAGGAAGCCCCGAATATCCACATTCCCATTTCATGCTGCTGCCTGTGACATTGATTACATTTGGTAGCTAATTTTCACTCCTCCACGTCATCAAGAAAAGATCCATTTCACAGATTGTTTTTTGTTACCACGACTTGGTTTTTAGATTTAAACTGAAATGCTCGATTGGGTTTCTATGTAAAAGTTTAAAGAGACCTCACGATTTTTCTGTCAATTAAACATAATAATATTCAGAGTAACAAGAAGTACAGCAACAATCCAGGATGGTGATATTTCACACTGATCACCAGATCAAAGCAAACAGAATCACAGAATCATAGAATCATTAACGTTGGAAAAGACTTCTAAGATCATCAAGTCCAACTGTGAACCTGGCACCACCCTGACCACTAAACCATATCCAGAAGTACCACATGTACACATTTTTTGAGCACCTCCAGGGATGGTGACTCCTCCACTTCCCTAAGCAGCCTGTTCCAATGCCACTCTTTCAGTAAATGAATATTTCTTAATACCTAATCTAAACCTCCCCTGGTGCAAACTGAGCCCATCTCCTCTCATCCTATCGCTTGTTACTTGGGAGAAGAGACTGACCCTCACCTCACTACAACCTCCTTTCAGGTAGTTGTAGAGAGTGATAAGATCTCCCCACGGCCTCCTCCAGGCTAAACCATCCCAGATCTACTTAAGATGCTGGAGGACAGCTCTGACTCAGAGAACCAGGGATTATCTCAGGAAAGACACTGTAGTAGCTGCTAAAATACTGTAAATGGCTTGCACAATTTAGAACAGCTGGTGGACTAGGTAAAATGCATTGACATTGAGGCAATGTACTGGGTTAGAGTCTAGAGTTGACTTCAATATATCAATTCATTTAAATAAAACAGAAAAAACCAAACCAAAACAAAAAAACCACAAGCCACCCTGTTTTGCACTGCTGTTAAGATTTTATACTTCTGGTCTACTAAAGACCCAACAAAATGCCATAATTATTTTCACTTTGGACACATAGAAGTTGTCTTCTTGTACTCTGAAACCACTTCTGGAGTCCACCTGCATTGATACACACGGTTTGAAAAGGGTGTCAGCAGCCCCAGTGAGGTATGCATCTGTGTGTCGGGATGAGACTGAGGAGTAGCAGGGCTCTCCACAGAAAGAGCTCTGAGACCCTGTGCAGAATTGGAAGGGCAGAAGTGCTGCTAATGGCACAGCACTCCACAGTGAGAAGTCTCAGAAAGCTACATAAAACCAGCAGGAAAGCAATTTTCATTTACAATGAAGATCCCTTAACACAACTCCATCAGGAAAGGTACGTTTCACTTTGAGCGTCTTTCGTGTTGCAGGACAATCTGAAGTTCCCTATTCACGTTCATACTTTTAGCTTGGCAAAGATATGATTTGGGGAGGGGAAAATGAGCGTATAAAGCTCTAAATAATGTAACCGCTTCTGGAGGAGTAGGCGCTTCTTATTACCTCAGATTCAAGAGTCCAAACTCCAACACTCAGACCTTCAATCTCATCCGAAAGGATACTAAATTCCAAACAGCACTTAACAACTTTTTGATTCATCCTAAGCGTGTGCTTGTGCTCTTGACTACCCTTAATTCTGAACAATTTCAGCAGGTGAAAGGATAGCTGTCAACAAGAATGCACTTATTTCCTCCTTTCTTACGCTTGTTTGTTTGCAGCTAAAGATGCCGTAATTCTATTATCCCAGAAAACTGCTTAGGTAACAGGCTCGTAAAGCATAACATGGTGTAACTGTAGCAGCCACAACGTGCCAAGCAGGTGGGTTGTCTTTTGAAGGCTGTAACCAGTTTACTGAGGTGAGGGATCTCACCAGCAGAAAGAGGAACAGGCACACTGCATGATGGACACCATGTCCCCAGCTCTCTAGGCTCCTCACACCACTGAAAGCATCTCTGTCCCTGCCAGGGACTATAACATACTTCACCTTCTCATTTCTAGAGGGTTAGCCAAGCACAACTCAGGAGCAGAATTCCCTCAAAGCTGTGCTGATATAGCACCAAAGAGACTGCTGAAGCAATGTCAAATGATCAGGCCCCATGTTCTCTTGTAAGAAGGAAACACAAAGGAAAAGAAGAACACCAAGTGATGTGAGAAGCTGTTTTTTATTACTGACTGAATACTGGACTATCCTAACATCAGAAATTACTTGGAAA